TGATCCACAGAAGTGCAGCCAAAAAAGCTTTGGCTGTACTTCTCCTTTAACTTTTGTTTTGTTCGTAGCAAAGAAAAAAAAATGAATGTTCATCAGCCTGAAACCATCTCAGTGTACCCAGGACTATAGGGTTATTTACTTTTTAAATGCACTCCATTGTTTTGGGATATTGCGCTCAGCAGTATTTCATTATCTTGACAAACAATTATTCCAGTTCTGGGAAAACATTTCACGTGACCCTGTATTTTGGCCTATCTGACAACACTGGTTTTTGGTTTAAAATGAGAAAAAATCATATATCATCATTTTCAATTCTGAGAGGCTCTGACAAGATGAACAAACATGCTTCATTATTTCTCTCTATTCCTTACTCCTTCATGTGTTTCAATTATGCACATACGAAAGAAGTTTGTTGTCTTAAAGCGGAGTTCCACCCAAAAGGGGAAGATCCACTTTAAGCCTTTGTCCCCTGCTCCCCATTAAGGATTGGCACCTTTGTGGATTGGGTACCCGAATTTGACAGGTACCTGCTCCCACTTCCACTGCGATCGCCTAGGCGATCGGAAGTTGTCCTCCCCCCTCCCTCCCCGTAGTCTTCTGGGACATGTGACAGGTCCCAGAAGACTACGGGACCATTCACAAAGTGCAGCGCTTCTCGCGCATGTGCAGTGGGCACCCGGCTGTGAAGCCGCAAGCTGTCACAGCCGGATGCCCAAACCGAAGATGCCGGCGCCAGGGAGAGAAGATGGCTGGTGAAACCAGCGGCGGTGAGGACACCGCTTGACCGAGGGACAGGTAAGTGCCTGTATTTTAAAAGTCAGCAGCTACAGTTTTTGTAGCTGCTGACTTTTATTTTATTTTGTTTAGGTGGAACTCCGCTTTAAGATACACCACCAAGCTTGTCTTATTTTGTGTCAGGAGCACAGTACACATTGGAAAGTGTAGCCTATGTATACTGTATATTGGAGGACAATGCACAGTGATATACAATATCTTGAAGTTATTTTAAGGGTTGCTGTTGTCCCCATTTCCTGGATGCAGTCCCTGCAGTGTGACTTGAGTTGAAGTGTATATAAGAAACAAAGAGAGGGCGCAAGGGCCTAGTACATTACCTTTAAAAATTAGATTTATTATAAATAGTAAAATATTCAGAAGAGAAATAATATCAAATGGAAAGCATGTCACAAAGGATGCAATGTGGTCCAAAACCCCCCGAAGTTGTCTGGTGGCCGATGTGTTTCGAGGTTGTAATGCACTAGGCCCATGCGCCCTCTCTGTTTCTTATATACAGTTCTCTTTGCATTTCCCTGGTCCATTGAGGGCAGCAAGGCTTGCATTCCTTTCATACTCATGTGCGGATTTTGACATTGTGGAGTCCACTGTCCAGCACAGGAGTACAGGTATTTGGTTCTTTATTCTTCTTTCTTGAGTTGAAGCCTCTGCACTGCAAAATTTACTCTATGGTGCCCAGCTCATGGGTACGATGCTGGGGATGACCATTTCCCCACAATAGAGGAGTCTTGGACTTGGGGGAAAGCAGGAGCTATGATTAAGCCAAAGGTATAATCTATTTTAAACATATGGCAGCTGCACTTTTTACTCAACAATCTGTTAGTTACTTTCTCCTGATCTCAGAACTGTGTGCATTACCTAATCCTCATTCCTGAAATCTGTGACTCTGTGTGGTACTTACAGTTGCAAGAAAAAGTATGTGAACCCCTTGGGATTACGTGGAGTTTTGCATGAATGGGCATAAAATGTGCTCTGAACGTCATCTAAGTCACAACAATAGAAGAACACAGTCTGCTGAACATAATACTACACAAACATTAGATGTTGCCATGGTTTAATTGCACATAACATGTAAACATTCACAGTGCAGGGAGGAAAAAGTATGTGAGGCCCTAGCCTAATGACTTCTCCCAGAGCTAATTGGAGCCAGGAGTGAGCCAACCTTGACTCCAATCAGTGTGATGATATTGGATGTGTTGCTGACAGCTGTCCTGTCCTTAAAAAACACACACCTGTTTTGGGTTTACTGGTTTCAAGAAGCACTGTCTGATGTGAACCATGTCTCACAGAAAAGAGCTCTCAGAAGACCTACGATCAAGAATTGTTGACTTGCATGAAGCTGGAAAGGGTTACAAAAGTATCTCCAAAAGCCTTCATGTTCATGTGTCCACGGTAAGACAGACTGTCTACAAATGGAGAAAGTTTAGCACTGTTGCTACTCTCCCTAGGCGGGGTCGTCCTGTAAAAATGACTGCAAGAGCACAGCGCAGAATGCTGCATGAGGTAAAGAAGAATCCCAGAGTGTCAGCTAAAGACCTACAGAAATCTCTGGCACATGCTAACATTTTTGTTGACATATCTACAATAAGGAAAACATTAAACAAGAATGGAGTACATGGGAGGACACCACGGAGGAAGCCATTGCTGTCCAAAAAGAATATTGCAGCACGTTTGAAGTTTGCAAAAGAGCACCTGGATGTTCCACAGCACTACTGGCAAAATATACTGTGGACAGATGAAACCAAGATTGAGTTGTTTGGGAAGAAACACACAACACTATGTGTGGAGAAAAAAAAAAAAGGCACAGCACACCAAACATCAAAACCTCATCCCCACTGAAAAAACATGGCGGAGGGAGCATCATGGTTTGGGGCTGCTTTGCTGCCTCAGGGCCTGGACGGATTGTTGTCATTGATGGGAAAATGAATTCCAGAGTTTATCAAGACATTTTGCAGGAAAACGTACGACCATCTGTCCGCCAACTGAAGCTCCGCAGAGGATGGGTGATGCAACAGGACAATGACCCAAAGCATACAAGTAATTCAACAAAACAATGGCTGCAACAGCACAGAATACGCCTTCTGGAGTGGCCCAGTCAGAGTCCTGAACTCAACCTGAATGAAATGCTGTGGCATGACCTTAAGAGAGCGATTCACACCAGACATCCCAAGAATATTGCTACACTGAAACAGTTTTGTGAAGAGGAGTGGTCCAAAATTACTCCAGATCATCGTGCAGGTCTGATCTGCAACTACAGGAAACGTTTGGTTGAGGTTATTGCTGCCAAAGGAGAGTCAACCAGTTATTAAGTCCAAAGGTTCACATACTTTTTCCTCCCTGCACTGTGAATGTTTACATGTTATGTGCAATTAAACCATGGCAACATCTAATGTTTGTGTAGTATTATGTTCAGCAGACTGTGTTCTTCTATTGTTGTGACTTAGATGACGTTCAGAGCACATTTTATGCCCAATTCATGCAAAACTCCACGTACTCCCAAGGGGTTCACATACATTTTCTTGCAACTGTACTACTGATCCCTGTATGGTGTACATTACTTAATCCTGACCCCTGAACTCTGCAAATTACTTAATCCTGACCCTGAATTCTGTGACACTGATTTACTCCTGATTCTCGCACTGTGTTTCTTAATCCTGTCCTCTGAACACTCTGTGCTATTTACTTCTGATCCCTGCACTTTATGCATTTTTTAAGCCTGACTACATGTGCTTTATGTTCTCCTAATCCATAACAGCATACGTTTAGGTTTTTTTAACAGTACTCCAATAAACCATGCCCGCTGTCGCCACAATTTGTCCACAGCCACAACTCACCATGGTGCACTACATGCATCACATCCTTCCCTTTTTCATGGTGCCAAAGGTATTTTGTCTTTATACATTTGAATATCTGGCTCTTGTCCCAAAAATCTGTTAGCAGTTGTTTCAGGGCTTGCTAAAAATGGGGGTATGATGTTGAGGGTGGGATTCTGTGGGTGTGGTTAAATGTGGGCATCCCTGGATTTAATTTTGAATATTCAGTATCCTTAATATATCTGCCTGTGGTAGTACAAATTTCAGTCCATGATATTTCTTCCTGATTTGGGAACTGTTTAGATGGGGGCACTCAGATTCAAAGGAACATCATCATTTGCAGATTTTTTTTAACCCCAATAAAGTAAAAGCCGGTAAGCACCTTTTAGCATTTATGCATACTCAAGATTGCTCAGTAAACCCCCACATACTGCCTAATTAATCAATCAATCAATCAATCAATCAATCAATTATGTTACTCACAAATATTGTTTTCTGTATGGGCCTTCTAAGGGCCCATTCTATGGGCATCTCCACAGTGCACATGCTTTTCTGCACACAACCATGCATGGTAATGCACTACATTACTACAATGCATTGCTAAAAATGGTACAATTAATTTTTTGTTCGTGATGATGTGTAGGCAGCCCATTCAATGATTAGGCAGCCTTAATGCAATGCATTTTAATGTACGTTACCACAATGAACTAGAACTTGTGTGAATGAACCCTAAAATGTAACTCCAGCCAAACTGCAATATGCACAGTTTGACTTCTTTGGTGGGATACTTGCCCATTTACAGGCATGCAGTGGATCAATGGATAAACATTTCTTAAATTTCCACAGAAATAAATAAAGGAAAAGTTGTAAAATTTTCAGAAGAACATTAGGAGCCCAGTCACTCCCGTTCCCAGTGTGCTGCAGTGCACACATTTGTGTGCATTGAAACACGTAGCATCATGCAATGGACTGTTACAAATTGCACAAAAGATAGGGTATGCTGCATTTTTTGCAGCACAACACACATCATGCCTTGTATTGTGCCACTGTGTGTTGCAGTGCAGCTGTTTTCTGGTGGTGCTTTGGAGTGCTATATAAATTGAAAGGCACTGCAGAGGTGTGAATGAGCCCTCCAAGTCTATAAATCAAAGTCAACCAGGAAATATCACTTGAACAGTAGCTGTTTAATTTTAAGAATTTAAATAAAATATACTTTTGGTATACTAGATCATTTGTATTAATTTATTTACATTGTTAACAATTTGTAGTATTGATCAAATCAAAATGTAAATAATATGGTACTTATGGTTTTAGTGTCTCATTACAGTTTTAGTGCTATATATTGGTGTAGGAATCCTTTTTGATTATTGAAGGTTTATATTGTGCTGTTTACAGGATACATGTAGAAATTCAATTCTGCATTGCTATGTTCAGGAACTTCAAACCATTGTAGAAGAAATTACTCTAATAGGAGATAAGGATGCAGCCAATGACATAACTTTTCTAATTCATAATATAGAAACCAATGGGAATCTTTCTTCTTTGCAGGTATGTACAGTATTGCTAAGACTGTTTGTTTACTGTATAATACAAGTTTTGCTGGAACCAGAGACAACCTTTGTTTTCAATTGATGCACTTTGACTGTGGGCAAAAATTTGCAGTGATAAAAGGTAGACAAATAAATAAATAAAATTTATGTAATATGTTGATGTGCAGTAGGTGGCTTCCAGGAAGGTGACTTCCACACCCCAGAGGAGCACCACAGTCTACTGGACTTTTAGTGTAATGTAACAAAAATTGAAGCTGCTGACAAGACCTGTGCTAGCAATCACACCAGAAGGACTCAGATAAAGGGTTGATTGTCCTCGTGCCCTTTATTGGAATAAAGGTGTATCTGAACCTTTCAGCAATTGTGTGGCGCTTCTGTCTTTTTTTTTTATATTACAGGCTTTAATAGCTGTCTGTGTCCCTGTTAGGAGATTCACCTTCTCTATAGTATTTTTTCTGTTTACATTTATCACCAAGAGTAAAAGTGAAAGACTATCCCAAATTTTGGGTTGCCACCAGAGAAGTAATAGAGAGGAAGTCTTCCAATGGGAATGCTAGTTCTGGTGACTCTGGTGACAACAGCATACTCCCTCATTTTGGAGGGATTTCCTCTCACTTTTTGCTTTGGCTATGGAACAAGAAATAAAGGGCAATCTCCCAATGGGACACAGATCATCAAAAAAAAAAAAAATGGGCAAAAAAAAAAAAACAGTTATATCCTCCCTTACTCCATTAAATATTAAGGAAAAAGTTTAGTCTTTTGTTTTTCTTTAGTCCAAAACACTGAATCTTATATCCATGTTGCAGCCAGCAAAAAAAAAAAAAACCAGTGTTAGAAGCACATGATGTAGTAGCCAGCCCTACTAGCCAATTATTAGGTCTGAGCACTGTCACATGACAGAGGGGGTCAACACTATTGTTTAAATGCTGACACTAAGGCTGGCAATACACTGTTAGATTTTCTTCTCTTTATCCTGTGGGCTGAACAAAAAAATAACAGATTTCTTCATCCGATCTATACAGCACGGATGGATGAATCTCTCACTGTGCTTATTGTATTTGGACTGCTGCCACAGGCTCGATTCAGCTGCTAACGGGCCAAACATTTTCTTGCCAGCTCCTTCACCCACTTAGGTGGGTCATCCATGTAGCAAATTTCAGCTAGTTAACCATAAACTGGACAAAATTTGCATAGTGGATGGTAAACTGTGGAAGTCATAATCAAAGAAAGATCTGCGGAGGATTGCTGGAGAGGTTAGTATAGCGCTGCCCCCTTCAGAGCCGCTTTGTATTTTGGGTCCCCTGTTCACTCTGAGTCTGTTTTAGAGCACAACCCTTGCTGACATCATCATATACCCTTGACCAGGGGACAACCTGGCTGTGAAACACAAAATAATCACACAGTTTAAAGTGAATCAATATTCTGATTGTATTGAAGTTAGAGTAAAAGTAATGCAAGCTAAACAGAGACACTGGTAGATGTGCACTGGAAAACTTAGTCAAAAGGAACATACACAGTACTACTTTAAATCTACCCAACTGTCCTGCAGGACCAGAGTTTAAACATTAGTTCCAGCTCTGAACTGTTTCTTCCCCAAGTGAGCTGAAAAAGAGAATACAGAGAAGTCAGGCTAACTCAGTTATCGGTTCTCAATGACTAAAAGAGGGTTTAACTCTTAAAATGGATTTACATGTGTAACACCCTGCTATAATGCAAGTTGCAGGATGTTAAGAGAAACACAAGATGGCAGTGTCCTGCAATTTAGTGGCACTCACACTTTGTAGAACAGCCCCATGGTCCTTGTATGCTGAATTGCAGGACTTTTCTGCGGAGCAGTGAACCAGAGGAGTACATTTCCCAGAGGAGTTGGTGTGTGGGCACGGGCATTTATATACAGAAGCCCGGGAGACTGGACAGGAAGTGAGAGGGACATTGCTGTGCTGACTGCCAGAATACCAGACCAGGCTGCAGAGTTAGAAAGGAGAGAGGCAAGGAGGAGTTGCTGACCGCCAGCCTTGCTGCCCTGTTCAGCGAGACATTCTTCCAGCAGATGACATAAAGCGCAGTGTCTGGACGGAGCGCTGCAAGTGAGATCGGAGAACCTGTGGAGGCCCCCATCCGCAGAGAGACAGAGACCATCAGGACCTGCTGGAAGCCACTGATTGGGTGAGACAATCCCATAGACCAGCTAAACAAGTGAACACTGACATCTCCTTCAAATCAGCCACTTTCCTGCACACAGTTGCTGACATTGCATATAGTTAACACGTGTTGCAGCCTTGTTCCCCTGTCTGCTACTATTGAACACATTTGCAGCACAGTTCAAACATCAGAGCTGACTGCAGTGCAAGCATTCTGTGGGCCATGCCTTCTGCAGGACAAACCACATCATTGTTCCCTACGCTACCTACCCTCTTAAAGGAACATCTACCACCATTGTCATTAGTTACTGCAGCCCAGAAAGGAGTTGCTCTTTGCCAGCAAGTGCTTCTGTCAACTTCTCTGACATATTTTTGCCTAACATTTCCAACTTGCTCAGTGCAATAAAGAGACTCTACACAAGTCAAGTGCCACTTAAAGGTATAGTACTTGTCCCTCCTTCTTTTCCTTGCATTAATCCTTTGAAGGACTGTCACCTTCATCTCTTTCCACATAAAAGGTTTGGATCATTGTAGTGCACCAACTGGGCCCCAATGAGCATGCAGAAGATTCCTCACTGCATTTAAAGGGATGTTGACTATCCAAGTTAGAGCTGTTTCCTATCTCAGATTTAAATCTTGCCATTAGATTTTGAGGGCCCAAAGTGAGCTTGTATTCCTTGCTTGCTGGGGACTAGAAACAATGCAGGTTGGAGGATTTGAGTCAACATCTGAATAGCAGGCCTGCTAACACTAATTGAAACCTTGCTGTATGTGTTATTTCTTTGCTTAGAGTTGCTAAGAGTGATAATTGCCATTACATACAAATATACCACTTTATGCTGTTTGACCGAGCTTACAATCTCAAGTTTAATATAAACATCGTATCAGTTCACTCCAATCTGTGTGTGAATCTATTTTCTGGTGATAATTTACTTTAGCCAGAAGAGTACTGTGGTGTCAGCAGGGGTTGGGCTTTCAGAGAGGGGTCCAGAATGACAGGAAGCCTGAAAATAACTGAGCGACTCCTAAGGGGGTAGTGCTACACATGTAATGACACCTTCTTTAGTATTACTCTTAAACATAGGAACATATTCTTCTGCGCTCTCGATGGGGCCCTTGTTGGTGCACATTAGAGTTGGAGTTCTTTTGGGTGGAAACAGGACCTCCTGGTAAGGGACTGATGGTAAGGGAACTGGGGAGGGTCCCTTTGTTGGGGAAGATGAAGACAAACATTGTTAAACTTGAGAAAGGGGCGAGAGTAGACTCCAGTGGAAGTAAATCCTTGGGAAATTATCCTGATTAAACAAATTCCTTTACTGCTGGAATAGGTTTGAGATGGGATATCAACAGTATTCCTGCCTGCAAGGACACACGTGCAGCAGCAAAAGTCCTGAGTGCAGAGCAATGGGGAGGAGTCACTAAAACAGTAGGCTGCAGTACTGAAATGGGCTAGGAAGTTTGTATTTCAAAGAGGCAAACTGTGATGCAAGGTGTACTGAACTGAAACTACTAAAACAGCAGAGTCTCTTGTAACTGGTGACAGTTTAGGTTGTGGGACCCTCTCACACTATCTGTAGTCTTAGTAGAGTGGAGAATGGTTTCTCAGTTGGGGGGCCCCCTTGTTCTCTTGGTCCCTCTTTGGAAGAAGTGATGTCACGGCCCTGCCTGCAGGATCGACTCTCATGCCTGTCAACAATACCAGCGATCTGTAATCCTTCTTTTCTGCTCTCCGGTGTGACCCGATCCGGCCTGGGCCTTCTGAGTTTTGCACTAGAGTCTTGCACAAGTACTCACCCTCACACAGTCTCTTTTCCTCCCCTGGAGGTTCCTGGGCTCCAGATTATATAGGCTCCAGCCCCTTTCACCAGCTCTTCTGGGAAATGTAGTCTGCTTTCAGCATGTCTGGGTACAGCAGTCCTTCCTTCAGCAGATATGCTCAGCAATGCTTTGCTATACTCAAGTCTGTAATAACTAAACTGCAAAACACCATCATCTTGTGGTCAATCAACATTCTGAAAACAGTAACAGTGTGTTACATTGGTATCATTGGATCAGGGGAGGGGAAGCTTTATGCAAACATTAGTACTTTGCCCCAAATTAGCAAAATGACAGTCTCAATAAACCAGAAAAAGTCTCATCTTTGCATAAATTAACCACATTTATATTAATATTTTGCTGCTCAGTGGCTTTCCTGTCAAATCTTTGAGCTATAAGCTGTATTTTGCTGTTCCTTCTGGCTGACATTCCCCCCAACTATTTCACATTTCCCACTTGTGCTATGTGCACATGTATGGGCTTAAGCTGACCAAAGATTGGAAACAAAATCTACCTAAACTACAGAAGGTGCTGGCACTAGCAAAGGGGTAAGAAGTCACTGCTGTTTGGTGGGAGTATGGAGCGCAATGAGTATTTATTTGGGGTTTTATGTATATTTCGGCAACAGGCTTTTATGGTTACTGGTGGGCTACAGTTCCATTTTAGGTATAAATATTATCAGAAAAGGTAAAATACTATGGAATCGGTGTGATGATTTATATTTGATAGGTTGGAGTTTAGCTTCCTGAAACCCATGTGTTTTCCTATTCAGAGCTAGGCAACAAGTTTTCTTTAATCTCTCCATCCCCGACAGTATACACTTACATTTCCTTTGTTCCCCTGCGGCACAGTTCAGTACCAGAAGCAAAAAATAAATACTTGGTACCACCAGGTATGCAGTATGTGACTCACTCCATGTTAGAATGCTGGGCCATTCACCACGTTCACACTGAGAGCCCATAGTGCTGTGTAAGCCACAACTCCAGTAACTCTTACACTAAGTGGCTGTCACTGCTGCCCCTATGAAAAGTGATCAGTGCTGGATCATCTTCAAAGATGCTGGTGAAAAATGTGATTTAGTTCTCTAAAATGATCATGATCATTTACCCTAGTAATATTTTGGTTCATTTATATTAAAGAATCAGTTGCGTCTCATGTTCACTATGAACTCAATACATTTTTAACCTGAGAAATATTATTCTTGTCTTACAGGAAGATAACTGTAAGGATTGTGAAGAGTATGAAGAAAAGGATTTGGAAAAGTTTATAGAAGGCTTTACAGCACTTGCTCAACAAATGCAAACCCTATAAGAAACTAAATGGGATATAGGAGGTTGTATCTGGTGCTAGCTGCTCTTCTGAACCTGTTGATACAAGCTTTTCTTGTCCTGCAAATCTGAGAATGAATTTTTTCAGATTTTGATGGCCATACTATGAAAATCATATACATGTTTAATTGCTTAAAAACCAAGCCTTTGTATTGTTTAAATACTTACAACAGTGTGTGAAAAGGACAAGTAAACAACCCCACCCTATTACATCACAGATAACAAATCGAATCATTAAAAACCCATCAGTAATGGCCTGGTCTCGTTCATGTGATAACAGACAAGTGGTAATATCATATAAAAACGAATCTGATAATACTACAAATATGATATTAAAAGTGGTATAATAATTGAGGCAAACTACATGTAAAGTACATCTGAGAAGAGTAAATGATCATAAAGAGCCCTGGGAAATAACTGAAAGTTCCCCTTACACTATGATCTATAAAAGGAAAAGGTTCTATTAATTATATTATAACGAGTATAGCATGGTTAGAACCTCTGGCTGTTTTTATTTTCTTTAACTGCTACCTAACTAATAAACAGTTTAAGGTTGCTGTCCTAGACCTCTGGCTTGTGATAAGAGAACCAATTTACCCTGACCTAGGTTTTATTAATGTGGCTGATCTGCAGAGATCAAAACTTCCCTGTGGATATCCACTTAGAAAAACCAATTATCGGTGATCTGGTAAAGAGTTTCTTTAGATTCCTTTACCATTTTTCTTTTGCATGCAGATTGTGCATTAGCCCTTCGGCCCCTGTGTTGACTTCCATTCTCTTGCTACGGTCCAGATAGTAGCAGCCACGTCATGATCAGGGGTGGACTGACCATTTGGAAACTCGGGCACTGTCAGTAGTGGGCCCCATGAGATGCCCCTGGTACCTTTTTCATAGGCTTTTTTGAGTTTGGGCAAGGACACAGGGGCCCCATGATCCCCTATTGCCCGGGGGCCCCATGCGTTGTCAGTCCGCCCCTGGTCATGATAACTAGACCAAGGAAATGGGGAGCAAAGGATATAGACGTAGACCTACTGCATTTAGCAGTCCGCTTAATCCTGGCAATTGTCAGCAGAAAATGCATCCCAGAAAGCAGGCACAAATGAATATGACCACTTGCAACCCCCACCTATCCAAAACTACCCTATAGTGATAAATGACATGTTCTAGCATAGGAAGGTGTTCTGACATAATAATAATAAACATGCTCTGACACAGTGATGTAAAGTTACATGTGACACAATTTAATACCTAATATGTATGATATTTGTATGTATTTATTTGGCAAATACCCACTCTATATCGCAAACCTACAAATAATTGTATTTTTTATCATTCATTCATGGACACAGGAATAAAATAACTCTTGGACAATCAAGTTATACTGCTGCCTTCAGGAGGTCTGGACACTTGTAAACAAAAAAATCATTAAACTAGCCCCATATAACCCCACCTATGACTATCATTACTCATTGCTGTCATTGCTTTTTTCTATTGACACTTTTTTCTAGGCTCTGCAGTGGAAAACTTTTACTATATTTTTACTGTAATTTTTTTTCTATTGAAGTTTTTTTTTTACTTCACTGTAGATAGCTATTCTTCAATAACTTCAATCACTTCAATCTACAAGCAGTTTGAACTAGTCTCTACACTTTACCTATCCAGATTGGTGTTTCCTTGGTAATGTCTTGAAGGCAGCATTCAGACCCTGCTGGACTGAAAATCATGGGGGGTCTCTCTGGTAGGTGACTTACAGGTACAGGGCTCTGCTTTCAGAGCTATCCAGACCTATGTGTTCTGTGTTAGTCACAGTGTGCTCTCCATGTCCAGAGCTGTGGCACATCCTCTGCTGTCACACAGTCTCTGAAGACTCTTTTTGTGAGTAAGTTTATATAAGTCTGTGCATGACTATTGGAACAGTCTGCTCACAGACATTCAGCACACTCCTTAGCTACTGACACTGGTCTATTCCAATAGAGATTGTATTTCATTGGGTCATACAAATCTGATATCCTCACTGCCGTTTCCAATTTAAATGATGCAGTTCACTAGTTCACTCTGGTATGTGTCTAAAGGACCTATCTGCTAAACTAGATGTAGGGACTCTAATGCTTGTGATAATGTAAATAATTTCCCTGTACCCTCTTTTCTGGAAAACCTTCTATGTGAAGACTAGTGACTTCCAATACTTTCATGGTCTCCTCTTGAACATGTGAAAGTTTATTTTTCCCTTTCAGAAGGAATTCCTTGACAAATGGCCCTTATGTGGACTGTCTAGTACTTCACCGCAGTGGACATCTTCTCACTTTAGTGAATAATGTCTTTACATTTAGGGACTGATGCTCAGTTAATATTTCCTCATGTCCCAGCTTGGATTAACTGGAATAATTCTCTGCCCTCTTTTGGTTGGGACTTTAAATTGTGAAACCCTGTCTCATTTGATCTCATCTTTTTTTAAGGTAACCCTCTGACACAGATCATGAACCTCAAGTTTTATAACTCCTTTGGAAATTCCATGAAACCAGGCCCGAACTGGGACAAAAAAAAAACGGGAATTTTGGACTGAGCAGCCCCAAGCCCGGGGGACCCTTTCCTTGGAGTCCCATAGTCGAATGCCAGGGACCGGACGTAAGAGTGACCTTTGCAACCGTGGTAGTTCCGCTTGCCACTGGTGTCAATAATTTTTATTTGTATTTTATTTTTTTACATTCTAGACTTTATTATTATTTTTTTTTTTTGTAGGAGCTCTATTGGGGGGCTTTGGTGAGAGGGAAAGAAATGAAGGAAGGAAGGTCAGACAGAAAAAGGAAGGAAATGAAGAGAGAAAGAAAGAGAAGGCAGAGAAAGAGAGAGAAATAAAGAAAGAAAAGAGAGAGAAAGAAAGAAAGAGAGGAATAAAGAAAGAGAGCAAATGAAAAGAAAAAGAATGAAAGAAAGAATGAAAGAAAGGAAGGAAGAGAAAAGAAAGGAAGGAAGGAATTAAGGAATGAAGAGAAAAAGAAAGGAAGGAAGGAAAGAAGTGAGAAAGAAAGAGAAAACACAGAGAGAGAATTAGAGAAAAAGGGCAGAGAGAAGACACAAGACTGCTGGAGAGTGTAGACAGGGCAGACACAGGAAGAGAGGACAGGAGGAGGAGGGGCAGAACCAGCTTTCTCTCTCCCGTTTGTGGTGGGCAATGGGGCAACTGTCAGCACTGAGGACACTCTATCCTGACAGATCCCAACGGCAGTGCTGCAAGAGATGAAGGGTGAGTGGCCACGGGGGAGTATACAGGAGCCCACAGCAGCAGGAAATAGATAGGAGGGGCGGCCAGGTGGCAAATAGAGGAACCGGACCGTGCATTTCTCACCTGCTACCACTGAATGCCTGCAGGAGGGAGAGGAGAAGCAGGCATTCAGTGGCGGCAGGTGAGAAATGCATGGTCAGGTTCCTCCATGTTGCGCCCCTCCTATCCAAGTGGCGCCGGCCCACCGGGCAAATGCCCAGTGTGCCCTATGGCCAGTCCAGGCCTGCATGAAACCCTCCATTTTAACTGTGCTGGCCTCTTAGAAGCATCTAAGTTAGGGTCTCCTATGACAGTTATGCCTGTTAATGTGGATAGGACACTTTGGCTACATGCCTGGAGCATAGAGGCTATGTTTTAAGAACATATTAATTTACTGTTTACGGGAAGGCATCACTTTGGTCAAAATTTTAAAGGTGGCATGCCTCTACCTCCTGATTCTCATTCTGGGCACACATTTCTATGTACGGGATCTGTTGGCAAAGCAGAAGAGTCCCAGTCTTCTGTTATAACAGCTGTACAATCTTCCAAGCAATCAAATCTGCTTACTGCACTTAACAGTTATGCAATAACCTCTTTCTTGGAAGTAATTGAATACTCCACATGACATTGAAGGCTGTCTGTTTCCAATTCTATATAATGTGGGTCAGGGGCGGACTGAAAACTCATGGGGCCCCCGGGCAATAGGGGATCATGGGGCCCCTGTGTCCTTGCCCAAACTCAAAAAAGCCTATGAAAAAGGTACCAGGGGCATCTCATGGGGCCCCCTACTGACCCCGGGCCCTTGGGCAGTGCCCGAGTTTCCAAATGATCAGTCCGCCCCTGTTTTGGGTGGTCTCATAGTGCCTACACTATTCCCATGCAGGAGGCAACTCTTTTTAATGAATCACTGCATGTTTGTTATGGCACCCCCAGCCAGGTAACATGGGCTCACATAAGATGTGAAGTCAAAACACCAGCTTGATTTCACCAGAGCTCCTGATGGTGGAGATGGGTTTTGCTGCATGCTGGTACCAGGTTATGGCCTTCAGGGTCATCCCACTAAGGGGTGAATGAGAACAGGAAAATTACACTTCTGACAGTGCACTATCATTCTACTGATAGCAGTTTCTTCTGATGCTACTTTTTCTGGTTAGGAGCACTAGTTTGATTCTCTGTGCCTTGTTGCTTGTAACAACTCCATTTTACCTCTGCTATTTTCTACAGCCCTTGTTCAGGCATTGATTACCTTTGGATTTATTCTCAGTAAGGTTTCTCTGTGGCTATTGCCCACACCTCATTTCCATAATGAGAGGATGAGAGGCACCACACTTCACTAGCTCTACATGTGGAGAGGTATGTGAACAGCCTCAGCCTTGAACTCCGTCCAAGCCATGTCTTTGATGCATTTCATCCCACCTACCAGCGCTTAGTCATAGAGGTCACATTCCTCTAGACCTGTTGAGCTAGTGGTGTGCGGTGTCTCTCATGCCCAATGTTTCACTGCTTTCTGGATCAAGCTTTAGACAACCTGCCCCCTTACTCTGCTGTGACACCAGATTTTTTTTTACCAGCAGAGCACCTTCAGCGGCACTACATGCAAAGCAAGATAGTTCAAGCCGTGATTTGTCATAATTGTGATGAATATGGTTACAGCTCATGAAAACCACAAATCCACAATCTCAGAAAATTAGAATATTGTGAAAAGGTGCAATATTCTAGGC